TACTAATCAAAAGCTACTCTAAAAAGGTGTGTCTATAGCATACTTTTAAAAATATGAACGTTCTCTGCGGCCCTGAGCTCCTCCTCAGACTGTTCCAGAGACGGGGGCCGTAGTGCTGGAAAGATGCCTCACCGTGAGTGTGTGTCCTGACTTTGGGGATGGTTAGAAGTCTGCTGCCGGAGGAGCGCAGGGGCCGGGAAGGTTCATAGGACAAAAGCTGAGGCTGATGTTGAGCGCAGGCGCAGGAGAGTAGAGGGAGTCAGTGTGGCAGCATGACATCTCTGCTCTTCCAGTCTGAATTTGCACTTAAGCTTCATAACTAATGATAGATCCAAACTGAGATGGATTTTATTGCATAGTTTAATCTTTTGTGTTTTGCAAGTTAGTTACCCCATGTTTGTCATTAAGTCTGTTATTTTCAACATATAGTAAGTAAGCTAGTAAGTAAGCTTTTATTTATATACCGCCTTTTCACTGCACATCGGAGTCTCAAAGCGGTTTACAATTGTTATTTTTTTGGGAGTGCCAGTACAGGAGGCACATGCCATACCTATTGTACATATTTTTAGTGGTAGGGGAAACCGGAGCACCCGGAGGAAACCTACGCAGACACGGGGAGAACATGCAAACTCCACTCAGAAAGGCCCTGGTCCAACCGGGATTTGAACCCAGGACCTTCTTGCTGAGAGGCGAGAGTGCTATCCACTCAGCCACCGTGCCGCCGTATACAATTTAATTAATTAATAATAATATCCAAACTCATTACTGAATGGATACAAACGTTTTTTAAATGAAAGTTTGGAACGTCTTTTCATTATTGCTCAAAGTTTCCCAGTTCTGAAAGGTTGAAAGGGCTGTCTTGCATATACTGTCCATGAACACATGTATGGACAGTACATGCACATATTTGGAAGAGGCGTGAGTGAAAGTAGCTGATGCACGAAGCGGGCTCCTCCAGCAGATGACGCTGTTGTGATTCTTGTTTAAAACCCAATATCTGTGCTTAATACATCCCTGTGGTTAGCCCTGCTTCTAAGATCAGTAAAGGATAACAGCTGCGTGAGGTGGTTCTATAGAGACTTTGTTTATCCCATTGTTTTTCATTTTGGATATTTAAGATTTGCTCCCATATCATGCTAAAGCTACAGATGTATACTTGCTTCTTTATTATGCTAAAGTGAAAGTTTTATTTTTTATTTATTTATCTTAGCCGTCTGCTCCTCATCCCTATTGTTCTGTTACCATTGATGCAACACTGACACTACACTTTTTTGGACTGACAGAAGCAAGGCAACCAGTCTGTGCCGCCGACCCGTCAGACCACCACCAGCCATTGCAGCACACACCAGACTCATTCTAGGCAATGTGGGTGAAGTGTCTTGCTGAAGGACACACAGGCAGTTTAGCCCTTTGCAGCCGCAGCCGCCTCACTGTGGCACCTGGTGTTCCCAGACGTCTCCCATCACAGTACTAACCCGGATCTACTCTGCTTAGCTTCAGTGGTCTGGCAGGATTTGGCTCTCATCTGCAGGTTGCTCCTGGTTTGACCCAACAGACAATATTTTTTAACCCTCATGATATCCTAAATAATAATTTAAAAAATATATAATAATAATATGTAGAATTAGGCTGAGAGCTGATTGGCTGAGTGAGGGTGGTCACTTTTCTGTCTGAAAGTTTATCTAAAGATGTGACAAATTCAAAAATACATGCATGAGAAAACTAGTGATAGAAGAAACTGCTTCCAAAGCTTTCAGCCCAATGGCTCATATTTCTTTTTTGTAGATGACTTTGAGATTTTAAAGCTGTTTAGGTTTGCAGCTTTAACAGAAAGTTTTGACTACCGTAAAAACAGTCATATATTATTTTGTGAGAACAGACGTGAGGGCCACAGGACAATAGTCATTAAGGCATGACACAGGAGTTTTCTTAGGAACTGGAATGATGGTGGACTCTTTAAAGCAGTTCGGCACAGTACAGTTCCTTAGCGACAGGTTGAAAATGTCTGTTAGCACAAGGGCAAGTTGCTCAGAGCACAGTTTCAGGACTCGAGGAGGGATGCCGTTCGGGCCTGGGGCTTTCCGGACTATGGTCCTGGACTTCCTGCTGAGTCACGGTGAAGGCACCTTGATTGAAACAATTGGGTCATACAGTAGGACAGGCATCAGCAGATTCAAAGCGACAGTAGAACGTGTTAAGCTCATTTGGCAGAGCTTGGCCGACAGATGCAATTTTACCAGCACATGGTTTCCAGGATGGCCTTTATACCGTTCCACATGCGCCGAGGGTCATCTTCCTCAAAATAACCCTTTAACCTGTCCCCGTAACTGCGCTTTGCAGATTTAATAGAACGTTTCAATGAGTAACAGGAGAACTTATAAGCAACTGTATCATTTGATTGAAACGCCAACGCACGCTCAAGAAGTTTCAGTTTCACTTCCGCGTTCATCCAAGGGTTTTGACTAAAATGTTCTTTAATGACCTTCTGTGGGACACAGGAGTCAATACAGAAGCGTATGTATCCAGACACAGCGTCACAGAATTCATTAACATCATCGGACTGAAACACAGACCAGTCCGTAGCATCAAAACACCCTTGTAGCTTCATGCTAGCCTCCTCAGACCAACACTGCACAGTGCGAGAGGTTGGTTTATGTTCCCTGCTCCTCTGAGTGTATGAGGGAAGAAGGAGAACAGAGGAGTGGTCAGACTTTCCAAAAGGAGGTCTGAGACTGGACCTGTAAGTTCCCTTCACGTTACTGTAGCAGTGATCCAGAACATGTGCTCCTCTTGTAGCTTGAGTCACATGTTGGTAAAAGTTCGGGAGTACAGTCTTTAAATTACATTTATTGATTTCCCCAGCAACAATGATGACTGCGTTAGGATGAGCAGACTCATGTTTGTGGAGGATCTCACTCAGATCATGAAGAGCTTCAGTATAGTCCGCTTGTGGATGGATGTAAACGGCGCATATATATATCAGAGTCCGGGACGTTTGTGTGGAGCCAAGTCTCACTGAGACAGAACACGGCACAGTCTCGCACCATGCGCTGGCTCTGGATACGACACAGAAGCTTGTCTGTCTTGTTCGGAAGATACTGAACGTTTGCCAGGTAGATGGAGGGCAGAGCGGCCCTGGAGGAGCGGCTTCGTACGAGCAGACCGCCTCGCTTTCCCCGGTGTCAGCGCTTCCTTCGCCAGCTCGTGGTACCCAGCTCCACACCGCCCAGTCCCCTCGCTCTGTTCGCAAGAAAGACTGTGCTTAAATATTGGAAAAAAACTAAAAACTGTACTGTCAATTAAAATGTTCAATTCATTACGATCTGCAAAGCCTTGACTCACCGCTGTGAATGATATTCTGGAGTGGGATGGCATTCTTTGTCCACAGAAGGTCTGGACACTGGTGCACTTTAGTTTCTAAGGCTTGGTCTGCTGCGCTCTACATCTGTCGTTCACAGAGACATGTTCAAATGGTTTGGATCAAATGATCTTTTGTTGCTCTCTGTTCCTTTTGCACAGAACTGGGAAATTAAGCTTTTATATTTGCTGCTCCTTCTACATGGAACGTGTTCCGAAAAGACTGGAAATTAACGGAACTTATTTCATTGAATGCTTTTAGATCCAGATTGAGACTGAGACATCCTCATTGAAATGTAACTTTTTATAATCTGTAATTTTAGGAAATTATATGTAGTTGTTTAAGAATCTGTATTTGTATGTAACTCCCTTGAAAAAGAGGTTCTTAATCTCAATATGACTTTCTTGGTTAAATAAAAAATAAAACAAACTTGGCGTACTTCTTTGGCGTACCACACTTTGAGAACCACTGCTCTAAAGTGATGGAGCAGAGACAAAACCAAACCTAATACCAAAATGTATTTTCTTCAAGACAGATCTTTATTTTAAAACATTTGGAAAATAGTAATCTCTGTGTAAAGATTCTCTGCTTTGTGCTGTTCCTCTTCTTCTGAGTCAGGGTTAGGGCTGTGGATTGTGTGGAGTTGTGTGCAGGATGTTACTGCCCTCTGCTGCTACATGTGTGAATACTGTAAGTCTCTGGATGTTGTAGGACTGTCTTTCTGACATGTCTGTGCAGTAATACGTGGTGCTCGGGGGCGGTGCCAATGAAGTGGCAGACCGGGGCAGTGGTCCCTCTTTACAAGAAGGGGGGCAGGAGGGTGTGTTCCAATCCTTAGCCTCCCCGTTAAGGTCTACTCCAAGCTACTGGAGAGGAGACTTCGACTGATGGTTGAATCTCAGATTCAGGAGGAGCAGTGTGGACCAGCTCTATACTCTCCATCGGATACTCCAGGGTTCAGGGGGGAGTTCGCCCAACCTGTTCACATGTCCTTATGGATTTGGAGAAGGGGTTCGACTGTGTTCCCCGGGGGGTCCTTTGGGGGGTTCTCCAGGAGTACGGGGTCTGGGGTCCTCTGCTGAAGGGGACACAGTGCTTGTGTCATGTATCTACTCAATAACCCTAAATTGACTGAGTAGATACATGATACGAGTGCTGCTAACATGTTTGCAGATACCAAAGTACCAGTTAATAATGTAATGGTCGAGACTATGAATTTGGAGGTTTGGTCTAATTAAGTAGAAATATTACCAGCAACGCCACCCAGTATATGGGAACTGGGACCCGTTAAAGATAAATTGGAAAAGGCACATAGGTTCGTGGACTGACGTGGACAGGAGGCAAGGTAGTACAAAATACAATTTATTTGACCATTTTAAAAAGGACAATTTCATTCCACGACGCCGGACTCTCCACTCTCACTGTAAAATGTAAACTCAGTGTTATCGATTGGCCTCACTAATAAGCCATTGTTCCAACCAGCAGCAGCAGTCCCCTAGAGTTCCAGCACGTTCTCGGCCCAAGCGCCTCCAAGCGCCTCCGTGGCCCCGCACTGAGGGGAGCCCGATGGATGTGGGCCTGTACCCGAGGAGCTTGAATAGCCCGTGATGCAGCAGCGAGGGTGTCGTGTTTCTCCGGGTACCAGAAGGGGAGACTCGCTCAGAACTGAATGAAATAATTAAATTTAGTAATAATTAAAATAATAAGCCCATTAGAGTTAGTGCAGTATACCCACATGTAGCTCTCCAAGGAGCCCGCACATAGGTCACCAGGAGCCAGGGGCCCAAGATGCGCGCACACACGAGCCCTAGACCAAGATATTAAATTGATAAGTGACTATAAGAATTAGATTTATTTTTAATGCTTACCGGTATTACAAGTGGACTGTGTATGCGGTAACGGGTGCCTGCCCGCGGCTCTAAGGAAAACTAAATTTTAATAAATACTCCAGAACATAATGAGTTAGAAAGCCAGCTCTACACTCACCAAACAGAGCAGAGCGCTGCACCTGCGGAGGGGTTGCGCAATAACCGCGCTCTGTCCCCACTCCACGGCTGTGCCGGGATCACAGACAATCTAAGAGAAATATAGGTTGAATATTGTGCCAAAACGAAGCCACAAGGCCGGCCGCAAACACTCACCGAGACGCAGATTGAAAGAAGCGTGCCCGCTGGGTCACAAAGCCGATGTAAAGGCTGGATCTAAAGCAACATGTGCTTCGGACGCCACCAGCGAGCAGCGTCCCGACGTCAGAGGCGAGGCAAACAGGAGTGTACGGGGGAGGGCTGCCCTTAAATACCACAAGCCAGAGCGCTGATAGGAGCGCTCACAAAACAGGTGTACCACTACAATAACATAAAACTTTCATGTTGCAGCCTGTGAGAAGATACTGCTGTAATCTGACTTCTCTTGAAACATAGAGACGCTGCCGAGCTCTACTTGTTTTCCAGAAGTTTATGCTGCAAATAGCTACTAGCTTTAGCTTGTCTGCAAAGCCCACCCAACGCGTCATTGCAGAGTCACACTGTACATCAGATTTACAAAACACGTGTGGCTGATTTTTAGTGAACACTGCATTGATGCTTTGGCGGTGTGGACGCTGCCCAAGCTTGTCCTCCAGTCAGAACCTTTGCTTGAGCCTCATTTGTAAACACCCTGAAAAAGAGGAGAGAAATAAGAGCAAGACCAGGACACAGCTTTCCTCCAGATTTGTTGGTTTTTGTTTATGTCAAAAAGGTTATGTCTCCACACACTTCCACCCACAACAAACACTGCTCTAATCCAGGGCAAATATTGGTGTATGAAAGTCACATATGGAAGGTCCGTCTCGGAGACTGCTGCTCTTCATCGCAATACACTGCCACACCCGCTCAGGAGGATGCAACCAGACTTTATTTTTTGAGAAAGCCCTTTGTTTAAGACTAAAGAGAACGCCCTGTTCCCTTGGTTTAACACCACAGAAGGTCCAACAGGTCTAAACACATACACACAGTTGAGGTACTTTGGCTGGAGACATTCACAAAACGGATGACAACGTATGAACAGAGGATTCTGCTTTCATTTCACAGATAAGAGAATCATATTTGAGGATAAAAAGTGTGTTCTTCTGCGGTAATCAGCGGTGGACACACTGTTTTGTTCAATCTGAGGTTCTCACATGAGTAAACATGATAGGAGAAGTGTGGTGTGTCGCATCAGCAGCTGACCATCGGGATCTGTGCAGACGGAAGTGAGAGAGAGTCATGTGTTCTGAGAGATAAGAACACTCTATGATTGTCTTAATTTCAACCACATTTCATTCTGGAGAGACTCTAACAGACAAAATGGTTTGGTGAGTAATGACCAAAAAAATTAGCACATGAGATTCTGGAGACATTATATGCAAGCTCTTACTGTACAAAATAGTTATGCAGTTATGATTTAGCACTGAGACCCGGGCAGAAGGAGAAATTAAAATTGAGTTTATTAGATTAAATCCTCTAGTGGTGGGAGCTAAGAGAAAGGGTGAAGAGCTAGCCAGGCTGGCGATTCAGTGATGGGGAGGAGGAGGGTTACTGCATGATATGAAAGCTTGATGTGCTTGAGTGCTGATGCGGCGCAGCAGCATGGGGAGGACTGAGAGCAGTGAACTTGAACACACAGAGTTTCTCCAGTCTGAACCTTCGCTTTAGCTTCAACACCACCATAGCCTATACATAGATGGAACATACCAAGCCGCTTGCTCTATGAAGTCCAAAAGGGAAGTGCTCAAGGACGAAGTTTGGCCCCAATTCGCTCTGGCTCCTATTGACTTACATGTAAAATTAAACTCCTTGAGCTCGGTAACCGTTTGTGTCACACTCACCATTGAGGCTTCAAAATCTGTGGGTAAGCTGTGTCTATGATCCTGGTGTTTTTTATTGTTATATTGTCTTTGTAAATTAGCACGTGGCAGAAAAGGTCCAGGGTTAGAATTATCCTTGAAACAGGGCCTTCCGTGTCTGTGTAAGTTTCCTCTATCACTGATAACACATTAATTTCCCTCCAATTACAATCTTATCGTCTTCTTAGCTTTAAACCTTTTTTTTATTTGTTTAACACATGTAGCTTGAGAAACTAAAATCTTGTGACAAAATCAGACCACCACTATGTCTTGATTTTACAAGAAAACATATGGTCTTTTGTGTAAGAAAGAGCCCTGTGAGTCACTGATTGACTGTTCTGGGCACAGAGCTGAAAAAGCTGCATAAAAAATGCATAAAACACCAGAGGGAGAGAGCAGATAGAGACAAGAGAGTGACCAGGCTCAGAGGGAGAGACCAGAGAGAGAGACCAGAGAGAGAGAGCCCAGAGAGAGACCAGAGAGAGAGACCAGAGAGAGACCAGGCTCAGAGGGAGAGACCAGAGAGAGAGACCAGAGAGAGAGAGCCCAGAGAGAGACCAGAGAGAGACCAGAGAGAGACCAGGCTCAGAGGGAGAGACCAGAGAGAGAGACCAGAGAGAGAGAGCCCAGAGAGAGACCAGAGAGAGAGACCAGAGAGAGAGACCAGAGAGAGAGAGCCCAGAGAGAGACCAGAGAGAGAGACCAGAGAGCGAGAGCCCAGAGAGAGACCAGAGAGAGAGACCATAGAGAGAGACCAGAGAGAGAGAGAGCCCAGAGAGAGACCAGAGAGAGAGACCATAGAGAGAGACCAGAGAGAGAGACCAGAGAGAGAGAGACCAGAGAGAGAGACCAGAGAGAGAGACCAGAGAGAGAGACCAGAGAGAGAGACCATAGAGAGAGACCAGAGAGAGAGACCAGAGAGAGAGCCCAGAGAGAGACCAGAGAGAGAGACCAGAGAGAGAGACCAGAGAGAGAGACCAGAGAGAGAGAGACCAGAGAGAGAGACCAGAGAGAGAGACCATAGAGAGAGAGCCCAGAGAGAGACCAGAGAGAGAGACCATAGAGAGAGACCAGAGAGAGAGACCAGAGAGAGAGACCATAGAGAGAGACCAGAGAGAGACCAGAGAGAGAGACCATAGAGAGAGACCAGAGAGAGACCAGAGAGAGAGACCATAGAGAGAGACCAGAGAGAGACCAGAGAGAGAGACCATAGAGAGAGACCAGAGAGACCAGAGATAGAGACCAGAGAGAGAGACCAGAGAGAGACCAGAGAGAGAGACCATAGAGAGAGACCAGAGAGACCAGAGAGAGAGACCAGAGAGAGACCAGAGATAGAGACCATAGAGAGAGACCAGAGAGAGACCAGAGAGAGAGACCAGGGAGAAAGCTGAGAGAGAGCCCAGAGAGGGACCCGAGAGAGAAACCAGGGAGAAACCAGAGAGAGACCAGAGAAAGACCAGAGAGAGACCAGAGAAAGACCAGAGAGAGATAATAGAGAAATACCAGTGAGAGAACAGAGAGAGAGACCAGAGAGAGACCAGAGAGAGACCAGAGAGAGACCAGAGAAAGACCAGAGAGAGAGACCAGAGAGAGACCAGAGAGAGACCAGAGAGAGACCAGAGAGAGACCAGAGGTGTGACAGAGACCAAAAATACACGAATTAGTGATAGAACTGCTTTATAGCCAGTTTGATGGATCTTATCACACCGTTCTATTATTTGTAGCTTGAAAAATGTCACTGCAGCTTTAAGACGGATAATTTGGCTACATATCTTTGTAGAAAAGATAAATATTACAAATGTCATCAAAAAGGGCGGATGAAGGGGGAGGGGGTGAGAGGCGTGGTGTGGGATAAGAGCTATATAAACAGATGGAGCGGGGTGTGTAGATTGGACTGGAGCAACTCAGGTAAGATTTATTTATTTTTATTTTTAAACTATCTCTCAGAAAAACCTGTTATAAATATATGTTTGTGGAAATAAGTCGATTAATGTGCTGAGAATGATAGAGCAGTGAGTTTACTATGTTTTCTTCTACAAATATGTCGCCTTTACACCCATACACTGGAAGAAATGATAAATTATGAGATGATTAAGATTAAGACTAAGAGATCCTTTATTCGTCCCACAGTGGGGAAATTTCAGTGTTGCATCACAAGTTATAGACCAGTAGGAATGAGGAGCGCAGCACAAGATAAATCCTAACAATAGCTATACTAATAAATGCTTGAATTGAGTTTTATCTGAGAACATTCTGGCTGTGTCTTAAAACAAGATTTTCCAATGGGACAAAACTGTATCTTTGTATCTTTTTCAAACATGGGCTTTTTCCTTGTCCCATTGGCCAATCTCATCTCAAGGCCGTGACAATGTTCTCAAATTAAGATACATTTTGACATATTTGAGCAGTTTTGACTTATTCTTTGTAACTTTTTGCAGTGGAAATACCGTTTTGAAATTATGCTTTGGCTGCTTTTTTTAAACCTGGTCTTGCACTAATTCTACTTGGGATTGGTCGTGGGAGTAGAACACAGTAGTGAGTCCTGTTCCCACAATTCAGTATTGTTTGGCACTTACTACAAATATATATGTCAGAGGTGGAAAAACAGGTTCTTTGGACCCGGTTTACAACTGGATTGAAAGAAAAGTAAAAACGACTTATTATAAAGACATTAAAAAACAAGTAAAAAGCTATAAAAACCTTGGCTAAAAAACACTAAAAAGCTAAACAGACACAGCTCTTGTCTCTCTCCGATCTATCTCTGACATCCCTCTCTATCTGGTCTCTCCTTGGTCTCTCTCTGGTCTCTCTCTTGTCTCTCTGGTATCCCTCTCTAGTCTCTCTCCAGTCTCTCTCTCTGGTCTCTCTCCAGTCTCTCTCTCTGGTCTCGCTCTCTCTGGTATCCCTCTCTAGTCTCTCTCCAGTCTCTCTCCAGTCTCTCTCTCTGGTCTCTCTCTGGTATCGCTCTCTCTGGTCTCTCTCCAGTCTCTCTCTGGTCTCTCTCTGGTATCGCTCTCTCTGGTCTCTCTCCAGTCTCTCTCTGGTCTCTCTCTGGTATCCCTCTCTGGTCTCTCTCCAGTCTCTCTCTCTGGTCTCTCTCTCTCTGGTCTCTCTCTTGTGTCTACCTCTTGTCTTAACTGTTGATTCTCTGATCTGTGTTGGTGATTTGAATGATTTTGTTCAGTCCTCTGAGATTACTTCTGTTGTGATTTTGGGCTATACAAGCATAGATTATATTGTATCGTGTTGTCTCTCTCTCTGGTCTCTCCCTGGTCTCTCTCTCTCACTGGAATCCCTCTCTGGTCTCTCTCTCTGTCTCTCCCTGGTCTCTCCCTGGTCTCTCTGCCTCTCTCACTCTTGTTTAAAGGGACAGATGCCCAGAAATAACGTATCATGTTTTCTGTGTGTTTTACAGGGGTCAGTCTGTAATTCTCTTCTATGGCTCCGTCTCGTTGGAACATGTTTGTGTTGGTGGTGTTTCTCACGTTGCAGCAGGCCCTGGGCATCTGTGTCCCGGTACGTCCCCCAGACACAGAAACTATCAACAATGTGGTTTTAAAGGAGACATACAACGCTAGATCCATCCATGCTAATATTAGGATCTTCTGTCAGAAACATGTAGCTCCGCCCCTTTGAGTCTGAAAGCTCCTGTCTCAGTTCTGTAATATGTATGATTGCATTATGCCATTATGAAATCACACTTAGTCCTAAAACTAAAGTATTGCATATACATTAGTCATGGTAATTTCTCAGGCGAAATAGATTAGGATGAAGATATTCTTTATTCGTCCCATAAGGGGGAAATTTCAGTGTTGCATCACAAGTTACAGACTGTAGGAATGAAGAGCACACAGCACAAGATAAAAATAATTCTATAGTAAAATAAAATACCATCAAATCTCTACAGTATCTCTAGCATAATAAGGAAAGAAGTTTAAACTCTTCAACAACAACATGAGAGAGAGAGCGAATGACCAGAGAGAAACAAGAGAGAGACTAGAGAAAGAGACCAGAGAGAGACAAGAGAGAAACCAAAGAAAGACAAGAAAAAGACACAAGAGAAAGATCAGAGAGAGACTAAAGAGAGACCAGAGAAAGAGACCAGAGGAAGACACAAGAGAAAGATCAGCGAGAGAGACCAGAGAGAGACTAGAGAGAGACTAGAGAGACCAAAGAAAGAAACCAGACAGAGAACAGAGACAATAGAGGGACCGGAGAGCGAGACCAGAGCGAGACCAGAGAGAGACCAGAGAGAGACCAGAGAGAGACCAAAGAGAGAGTCCATTTTTTGTGTATTTTGAGTGATGTCATGTGAACTGTCATTACTGTGTATATATACAGGTGTGTAGCATGTCTGATGAAGGGTATAGTGACCCGAAACGTCACATTGTGTGGTGAGAATTAAAATCTCTTGGGAGCAAAAGCTGTGCAGAGTCATCTCCATTTTTTTCAGAGTCCAATGAGTGACCAGAGAGCAAGACCAGAGAGATACCAGCGAGAGAGTCCAGTGAGAGACCAGAGAGCGAGACCAGAGAGCGAGACCAGAGAGAGAGACCAGAGAGAGAGTCCAGTGAGAGACCAGAGAGCGAGACCAGAGAGCGAGACCAGAGAGAGAGACCAGAGAGAGAGTCCAGTGAGAGACCAGAGAGAGAGACCAGAGAGAGACCAGCGAGAGAGTCCAGTGAGAGACCAGAGAGAGAGACTAGCGAGAGACCAGAGAAAGAGAGAGAACAGAGTCAATAGAGGGACCAGAGAGAGACCAAAGAGAGAGTTCAATGAGTGACCGAGAGCAAAACCAGAGAGAGACCAAAGAGGGAGTCTAGTGGGAGATCAGAGAGCGGGTTCAGAGAGTGACCAGAGAGAGACCAAAGAGAGAGACCAGGGAGAGACCAGAGCGAGACCAGCATTGAAATCATGACTTGACATTTTGAACATTTGACTTGAGTGTTTGCGGACAGAAAATGCCTCTGTAAACTTCTTGTAATGTCAATATGGAGAAAGGCCCTTTGTAATTCTTCTGTGCTTATTTTTCCAATCTCTCCTACGTCCACATGGCTGAACTGGGCGCGGCCTCGCTACAGGGTAAGCCTTGTCTGATCCTCTGCATGTTTGAGAGACAGGAGAGGGGTGGGCAGACCAGGATGCACTAAATATGTGGGCTTAGTGCAGTGTTTGTCAGCTACTTATGGCTATGTGTACATTAACCTGTGTCCAGAGTTCTGCCCCACAAACGCAGGGATCCAGAAGGAGATCGTGGACATTCACAACCAGTTCAGACGAGACGTTCAGCCCCCGGCCCAGGACATGCTGATGATGGTCAGTGCCAAACAGAGACCCTCCATCAGTCGCCAATCAATATCTGTAGCCCTGTTTCCACCAGCTCCACTTGGTTGTGTTTCCATTACACATCAGTATCTGGTGCCAAAACAGTCGGCACTAGATAATAAACAGAATCGGGACGAAACCAGAAGAAACAATCCTACTTTCGAATTAGTTTTAGACTAATAAGTCCTTACATGGTGACTGGTTAATTTTTAGGTGTCTGAGTAAGATGGTTAAGGGGAGGGTTAAGGGTGGGTTGGGGTTATTCTTTGGAAATGGCTGGTTAAGTTTAGGCAAGAATACGTTGTTAGTTATGTTTACTTCCGCTCCTGTCCCGATTCCGTACATGATCTAGTGCTGACCGTGCCAAAACTCCTTGGTAACCATGGCTTCCAGCAGCGCTCTGGCCAGTCTGTTAGAACACTTTAGTCCCAGCTCGGCGTGGATAGAATCAGGGCCAAGAGGGGCCGAAGAAGGACCTGGTACTGGTTAAACAGGGCTGGGGAAAATGCAATCAATCAGGATAGAGTAGAGTAGAGTAGAGTAGAGTAGAGTAGAGTAGAGTAGAGCTTAAATCTATCTAACATAAAATACAGTAGAGAAAAAAAACATGAAATTAGACCAAAAATAAGTATAAAATAAAAGACATAATAAATTAACACATAAAACTGCGGTAAAAATAATATGATAAACACAATAAAAAATATACAAACATACAAACAGATATAGCAAAAAATATTAAAAAACACAATTACATAGTTCAAATTAAATGATTTTTAGATACAGCCTTGACATTGCTAAATTACCATTCAAGTTAGGGACATAACCTGTATACAGATAGACTTTGTAAATCCAGATATGAGCATTGGTCATATTAGCATTGACCAATCAGATGCCTTGCAAACAACGTCAGAAGGAATAGGCTTCAGCTAGCTTATGTTCAAATCGGCTAACACTATGGTGATGTCACACTCAGTCCACTCCTAAAATACGCCATGGCTGCACTTTCCAAATGTAATGAAAACACACTGTCGAATCATTAGAGCGATACATTCGAAACTGTGCATATGTTGCTTATGTATGAATGACCCTGAGCAGAGAGTGTTTGAGTAGAGCTGGGATGATGAGGCCATGACCACAGCCCAGGCCTGGGTGGACAAATGCAAGCGAAGACACGGACCGCCTTCCTCTCGTCTGTACAATGGAAGTAAGGATTCTTTTTTACAGTTTAACCACATGTTTATACTTGGTTTATTGATGACAAGTGAGTTTGTGGTTAAAGAAAAGTGATAAATGTGTCATAGACTGTATACAGATGGACAGTGGCAGTGGCGGCACGGTGGCTGAGTGGATAGCACTCTCGCCTCTCAGCAAGAAGGTCCTGGGTTCGAATCCCGGTCGGACCAGGGCCTTTCTGAGTGGAGTTTGCATGTTCTCCCCGTGTATGCGTAGGTTTCCTCCGGGTACTCCGGTTTCCCCTACCACTAAAAATATGTCCAATAGTTCTGGCATGCGCTTCCTGTACTGGCGACCCCCGCTCCCATCTCTGTGTGGAGTGAGAGACTAATGCCCAAAAAATAACAATTGTAAACCGCTTTGAGACTCAGATCTGCAGTGAAAAGGCGGTATATAAATAAAAACTTACTTACTTACAGTGCTAACTCGCTAGCTCCATGAAGCCCAATAGGGAAATGCTCATGGACTATGTTTTGCTCCAACTCGCTCTGCCTCCTATTGACTTACATGTAAAAGTAATAGCTACAATAAGTAACTGTTTTGGTCACACTCCTCATTTTAGACTTTAAAATCTGTGGTTTAGTTCTCTTTGTGATCCTATTGTTTATTATTGTGATATTGTCTTTGTAAATCCAGATATGACCGCTAACAACTGATCAATCAAAGGAGTGGACTGAGCGAGTGTGATGTCACCAAGTTCCTATACGTATACCATTGGATAAGTTGATTTGATAGGATAACTGTAGCCTATTAGTACCTAGGGGTCAGCTTTGCGTTATAACAGAGGCAGTTGTTGCTGAGATGGTTGCTAAGGAAAGCTAGAGTTTGCCTCATGAATGAAGGCATCTGATTGGTCAATCCTTATATAGCTCATATCTGGATTTACAAAGACAATAGCACAAAATAAACACCAGGATCACAGAGAATGCGCTTCACCACAGATATTTTTGCAGATGTGACACAAGAGGTTACTTTTACATCAATACGAGCCAAAGCCAGTTGGAAAAAAAGTTGTTTCATGAGCATGTTCTTATTGGGTTTCATTACGACAGCGGGTTAGCATTGTCCATCTATATACTGGCTATGGACTTGGACAGACCAGCACTGCTCCTGATTGGCTCTTGGTTGCTCGGTCGTTGCTATCCACAAATTGTCGTAAGCTCGAGTATGACACATTCCTGCTCGAGTAGCCTGTTTGAGTTTTCTCCAATTGGCCTCCTCCGCATTAAAGAGCGACTAAACACCAAATCAACTTTTTTTTAACTCATAAACGTATGTCAATTGTAGTACTCTCTACATATCCTGGTCATTTTTGGACATTTTAGTTCAAATTAGATAAAATCTCACTTTTGAGCCAAAAAACGTCTGTGTGGCGCCCTCTCCACCTTTTTTGGTGGTACTACATTTGAATTTGGTTCTGGCCTCTCCATTGACTCTGAAGTTCTCTATGACGTCAGTTGTTTTGTGTGACGTCAGTCTGTCTGCGCCAGTGATATAAACCCATTCAACTCTCACACACGCCCCAGCTGCAGTTTAGAGTATTCTGGCGACATCTAGTGGATTAAAATTAAATTACATGAGTCATTCTGAGGTTATTGTGTGATTAGGTTCAGGTGTGTAGCAATGACAACTGTCTGTTTTTTTGTGTGTGACAAGTGAGCTGTCAATCACAGCCCAGACCACGCCCAACTCTAAGCCCCCCTTCTTGTCCCTTGGTCCTCCAGGCAACGCCCTTTTAAGAGAACATTTTCAAATCTTCATGTGGGCGGAGTAAGGCTGGGCACAGGTGTTTAGTTGCTCTTAAAGGCTTACACTGTGGTGACATCACAATCAGTCAGTCCACTCTATCAACAGTGCATTTTACGTATTACTAAAGTTGTAGGATTGCTCTCTTCTAGCAAAGTACGAGCTTGGAGAAAACCTGTTCTTCTCTTCGTCTGCAAAGTCCTGGAGGTCGGTGATCACAGCCTGGCACAACGAGGTGGAACACTTCACTTATCCAAATATATCTGCGAAAGGGAAGGCAACTGGACACTACACCCAGGTCATTTTTTATTTTTTACATTAGAGGTTGTAAGTGGTATGCCCCCCTACTACCTCCAAGACACATTTGTACCATATCAAACAATCATGACACACTTCTGGTGGTCCCTCGGGAGTCAAAAAGTGCAGTTGGAGTCAGAGCGTTTAGCCAAAAAAGTCCTATACTGTGGAATCAGCTCTCCATCCACATCAACGAAGCTGACCTATGACCCCTAGATGTTTGTTATTATATGTTCCAACCTTGATCTTCATCAGTCACAGACCTGGAGTTGTTTTTAGATCCATCCCCTCTAATATCAAACGCTTCTGGCAGAAAAATTAAGCTTATGCAATCTTGGAAACCCGGTTGCCACATTCTTTATGGAAAAATTTTAAAGAATGCTGCTTCACTGTGACCCGTGTCAGATTGTGATTGTTTGTGTGTTTGTATATGTGTGTGTGTGTGTGTGTGTGTGTGTGTATGCATGCATGTGTGTGTCACCAGCTTCCAATGAATGCTCTGATTTGGTTAGAATTCAGAAGTCAGAATATTACCAATCCTGTATTAGAATAATGTAATTGTACCACTATAACATCACACTCAGTTTTCCTTTGTAATGGCCCTTTAATTCGTTCACGCATCACAGTATGTGTTTACAACTCCCCCTGGTGGCAGCAGAGAGAGTTACAGGCAGAAAGCATGTTTTACCCTTTATAATTGTTTCACCTCACGTTTTTCAATTGAAGATATTTTCTCACGTTCTAAAACATTAGGATGTTTTAGAACATTACAGTAAATAGTCTTTTTATTGTTTTTAATGGTCCTGACCGTATTCTCACTATGTGCAGGTGATTTGGAACAGCTCATACAAAGTGGGATGTGGCATGACTAAGTGTCCAGGAAACATCCACTTCTACGGCTGCCAATACTACCGCGCGTACGTCCAAGTAACAACACAACACACACAGCAACACAACACGTCACGCAGCACCACAACATGTCACACTGTTGTAACACTCTGAACTCATGTGCCACCCCCCCCCCCCCCCCCCCCCCTCCTCCCCCAACACACAGAGGAAACTTCAGGTCATGGCGTCCGTACACCGAGGGAGAAGCGTGTGGCATGTGCCCCGGCCACTGTGTTGACAAGCTTTGCAGTCAGTACCACACACACACACACACACACACAAACACATACAAACACAGACACACACAAAATCATATACAACATCATTACCGCTAGTATAAAATGACAATTACCTTTTATTTAAAGGCAAAAAAATTCTCTCTCTCTCTTGTCTCTCTCTGGTCTCTCACTCTGGTCTCTCTCTGGTCTCTCTCTGGTCTCTCTCTGGTCTCTCTCTGGTCTCTCTCTGGTCTCTCTCTGGTCTCTCTCTGGTCTCTCTCTGGTCTCTCTCTGGTCTCTCTCTGGTCTCTCTCTGGTCTCTCTCTGGTTTCTCTCTGGTCTTCCCGTATAGCTCTCAGTCCTGCTCCTGCCCCTCAGTGCAGTGTCCTCTGCAGCTGTACAGTGTATACACAGGTTGTGTATAAAAGCCCTGCCCTGCTCAGCATCAGAGGTCTGACAGGATCTGGCTTTCACATGCAAGTATGGCCATGGTATATTGCAGGTACAGTATATTGCCGCGACAACACTTGTGTGTAAAGTGTGTGTTACAGCCTTAAAAGTGTGTGTGTTACGGCCTTAAAACATACAGCTGCTACTTCACATATTTCACTTTTTGTGGGTTATTTTTAGAACACATCACCCCCTGCGATTACCCAGGGAGCAGTGTAATTGTTAAATATTGGATGTGATGGTGACATGTTGTGTGTGTTCCTGTAGCTAACCCGTGCCCGTACGTGAACAAGATCCGGAACTGCGGTGATGTCAGCAAGGACCGCTGCAAACAGAAGTTCTACAGAAACATGTGTCAGGCTCGGTGCGAGTGTGACACAGAGATTATCCCCGTGTACAAGAAGTGAGACCAGCAACCTCCACACCAGCAACACCTGTTCTCAGATGGTCTCAACTTGGGCTTGTTCTGCTGTTCACCTGTCAACACACATCACGTTCAAATTAGACTTTTCCAAGTTTGTAACCACATTACAACATTGTTTTCTATTCAAAACAGACAAATCTAAAGCAGTCGTCTTGATGGACTTTACAAAGTTGTCAATTTTCCAACAACAGATCAGAGAATCAATAGTTCAAACACAGGAAATACAATAATAACCAACACATAGGATCCATAGGGAGCTTGAAGACCACAGTCAGAAATGTTAATAAAAGTCCCGGATCATAACTTTGTTTAGACCCTCCTGCATTGACAAGTAACCACTCAAATTTAAGAAACCTTAGGAAGGGCCGGAGAGGGTTCTGCTCACACGGACTGACAGGATGTAGGACCAGGACTGAAGATCCAGGACTGAGGTCGTAGAACCGGGACTGAGGCTGTAGATCCAGGACTGAGGCTGTAGATCCAGGACTGAGGCTGTAGATCCAGGACTGAGGCTGTAGATCCAGGACTGAGGTCGTAGAACCGGGACTGAGGCTGTAGATCCAGGACTGAGGCTGTAGATCCAGGACTGAGGCTGTAGACCGTGGACTGAGGCTGTAGACCGTGGACTGAGGCTGTAGACCGTGGACTGAGGCTGTAGACCGTGGACTGAGGCTGTAGATCCATGATGGAGGCAGTAGATCCAGGACTCAGGCTGTAGATCCAGGACTGAGGCTGTAGATCCAGGACTGAGGCTGTAGACCGTGGACTGAGGCTGTAGATCCAGGACTGAGGCTGTAGATCCAGGACTGAGGCTGTAGAACCAGGACTGAGGTCGTAGAACCGGGACAAATCATCTAGAACTATTGTTGTTGCTGTGCTGGAGGCTGTTTTGAACAATTCATATTAGAAAAATCAAACCTATTTTAATCACTGTTTTAATCATAACTTGTCGTTTCTTATAACATATATTTTATTGATTCGTTTAGAAAGATGCTGTAAATCAATAAAAGACTTTTGAATGGCATCTATTTATTCGATGTTTTTTTAAAGTATGCCTTTTCCTGCATTCTGGACTTTGGTCATTAGGTTGTAACCTTCTGGAGGTGAGGAATAACCTTTTTAGTGCCATAAAAAGTATCCTGTATATTATCGATAGACTGTATATTAGGAGTGTCCCTACCGAGAGTTGCTAAGACGGTTGCTAGGGCCAGCTGAGAGCATTGCGAATGAAAGCATCGGATTGGTTCCTTCTTATATGGATCATATCTGGATTTATAAAGATAATATCACAAATCTAAACTCCAGGATCACAGAGAGCACTATTTTTTAAGCCAAAAAAAGGAATGTGTGACAAACAGTTTACTTTGCATGTAAGCCAACAGGAGCCAGAGCGAGTTGGAGCAAAACCTTGTCTATGAGCACTTCCCTATTGGGCTTCACTGAGCTTGCGGGTTAGCATTGTCCAGCTGTAAAACAGTCTATGATATCATCTGCCTCTCATGGCTAAAATGCATGTTCTGAGGCTTCTTTGTATTGTCATGTGTCAGAGGCTGCTTTTCAGACTTTCATGAATTTCTACTTTTTTCAAAATCTGTATAATATTATCCAGGCAAAGGCTCTGAGTTGGTCAAACAAAGACATAATTGAGGGACCACCCAAAGAGGGACAGGGACAGGCGGTCACCCCAGTTTGAACTTTGGTAATAACATGGCAGCGTGCATGTACAAACTTCTCCAGTAGAGGGCGGTGTGACTCCAGCTCACAGCCGCAGTGGAGCCACAGGTTCATGAGGACAGAGGACATGAAGTCCACACGTTTAAATTAGAGTACAGTGTTGTGAAGTTACTCTAACAGTAATACAGTTATTTCACTAGTTATTGGGATATAAAAATGACATACTGTTTTAAAATATATCTTTGAGTTACCTTTGGTCCAGAGTACTGATTGTGTTTGAATGACATTGTGTTTCAAATAAAATCCAAAGATCTTCATTAAAAATAACAGGGGTGTCCAGGGGTGTCCAAAATGTTCAGTAGGAGGGCCACTTAAGTTCACCAGACTTGTCCAGAGGCACAGAATGTAAAACTGTTCAGACTGGATTCTGTTCTGGGCTTGAAAATGCGGGTTGATATTGTGTCCATATTGATTCATATCTACATTAGTGCCATGTATGGAATGTTGAGACACAAAAAACAAATAAAAAACAAATAAAGTTAATGACTGGATTCCAGAGGTTCATATCTTTACAATGAGGTACAGCAGGACTATACTGGTGGAGCTGAAGTTGGCTGGATGACACTTGTGTTAGAGGCAGAGGGCCACAAAGAGGACACAGTTTGGACATGTCTGAACTACAGTGAGAACATAAACGTGAACACTAGTTTGCACCTGGAGTTAAATATATATGTAAATATATTAATATTACCAGTTTTCACTAGTTACACAGTAGTTTCAAAAAGGATACAGTACTTATCTATATTTCTTAATTATTTGTTATCTTATATTGTCATTGTAGTCATTTTTATTTATAGTAAAAACAAATGTCATGGGCAGCAATAACATTGAACACATTATGTAATATATATTAACGTTTGCTTTATCAGCCAGCAACAACAATCCTTCTTACTTTTGGGCGAGCTCGGTCAGGTCAAGCATTAACTCAATTTTGTTCCAAGAAATTAAACAGACACACACACAAAAAATTAGAAATAATCAGTCCTCGCTATAACAGCCTTAAAGTGATAGTCTGGAGTTTGTCAGAAAAAAGAGTGAAAAAAGAATGGTCCAAGACGTGCGGAGGAGAGATTATTAATTTAAATATTCCAATATTCGATTATAATTCATTACACAGCTCCACAGCAGCAGTAAAACGCTCCATTGATTTTAATGTAATTTCAAAACGTTCTACCGATCATTATTTCTTGATAATGGACTCTCAAACCAATAATGACCGCTGCCCTTTGGCAACGCACTCTGTAAATGTACTTCAGGTGTGTAAAATACTAAGATTACTCTGGATAGTATCTCGCACACTTTCAGAGCCTGTCACTTATTACTTCTGTCTGTGTGAGAGAAGCTATCGAAGCTAGCCACGCTCATTAACACAAATATCAATCAATCAACACATTTAAATGTTAATCAGAGAATACATTATACATTCTTAACACACGTGCACGGAGGTTTTCGGAGTTATCGGTTAACGTTTTAATAACAAAAATACTGTTTTAATGTGTCAATAAGCGATCTTTTCGACGCAGTAAACCCGGAAGTAACTATTAACAGTAGTGGAACATTTTAGGAACATTTGCAGAGGATCTGATTCAGGATTTAAGTTAAGTTTATATTTGGGTCACTCACTGCTGATGTTCAGAATTCTCTGTTCACTTTTCATGCAGAGAGTTCTAGTAAGCTAGCCTTAGGAACTAACTATTTTATAAATATAATTTAAAAAACATATTGCCCATCACAGCGAAAATTAAGGGGTGTCTAAGTTTCGTTTGAATATATGTATAAACATTTAATTATATTCGAATTATATACGAGCATGAGCGCGATGATTGACAGCCCTTGGCATCACTTGATTGGTTCAAGTGGACGCCATCGTGGATTTTGAGTTATAGCTAAGATAAGAGAAGGCGGGATTTACCCGTAAAATAATTCATAAAATGACATTTAAGGCAAGGAGGTCAATTTAATACAATTCCTAAAATTTGTAATTCATTAGAGTTGCAACTATCACTTTAACACAGTTGTTACCCCTGACCCTGTTTATGCCACAGAGCGAACATGAGGAGTGGACTAACAATGTGTGAAATCACCATATATCCTTAATGCGGAAGAAGCCGATTTGATAATAAGCTTGCTGGAGCCAAATTTCCTTATATGGGCAATTCTTCTGATAGTGTTACTTCTGCTCCGTAACAGTGGGAGATACTGTATGTTGCTAAGATGGTTGCAAAGGCAAGCTGGAGTTTCCCCTGCGAATTAAAGCATCTGATTGGTCAATCTGTATATGGCTCATATCTGGATTTACTAAGACAATATCACAATGTAAACATCAGGATAGAGAGTGACGGAACCACAATGTTTTAAGCTCAAAGTGGTGAATGTGGAACAAATACTGAGCTAGAAGAGCACACAATATAATATAAATCAAGTTTTATACTTCCCTATTCATTATGCTAACGTTAGAGATGTTATACTTGCTTCTTTATTATGCTAAAGTTAGAGATTATATTTGATATTCATTCATTTCAGTATAGAATTGTTGTTTTTTGATATTTATGTTGTGTAATAGTGATGAAAAACTAAGAATTAAGTTTTGGAATCATAAAAAACAGCCTTGTTTAGAGTTTAGACAAATGAGGAGTTCATGGATAATCAGAAAAATCCAGTGAGTGTCATTTAACTGGACAATATATACAATATAAATTTAAGTTTATTCTTTAGAAGTGTTTTTTATTCTTATTTGTATCATCTCTTTTTGACTGTTGCACTGAGCCAAAGCAATTTCCAAGTCTGTGACCTCCTGTTACTTACGTTGGCAATAAAAATGATTCTGAAAAAATGATTCTGATTCTGATTCTGATATGTTGAAGAAAAGTGAGAAATTACAAGACCATTTTCCCAGTTTACCAAGACTGTGTGTAGCCTGGAAGATCCAAAGTAGGGCTGCACGACTGTTTTTATTTTGCGCTGT